TCTTATTCCCAGCATTTACTATGTGCAAGGCAGAATTCTAAGCACTTTACATTTATTACCACATTTATTCCTTCTAGTTATTCTCATAGAAGTAGAGAATAGAATGGTAGTTACCAGAGGCCAGCCTCTGCTTTGGGTTGCGGGAGGGAGGGGAGATGTTACAGTTAGGAAGAATAAGTTGATAGATCTGTTGCATAGCATGGTAACTATGTTTGATGATATATTGTGTCCTTGAAAAATGCTAAGAGAGTGGATGTTAAGTGTTCTCATCACAAAACTATGTGAGATAATTCACTTGTTAATTACGTGGATTTAGCCATTCCACAATGTATATATGTTTCAAAACCTCATGTTGTACATAATAAATACATACTATTTTATATGTCATTAAAAAAATAAATTTGACAAAAGCTGGCTCATGGGAAGTGTCTGGGACAAGTTAAGTACTAAATAAATATTAACTATTAAAAAATCCTTCTAACAACTGTGCTTATTAGGAAGCATAATATTCAACTATTCTTTTATTGTTTGATACCAGAACTCATCATACATATACAGGTAGTTAATATAAATAATAGTTATCATATTTCACTCACTGATATAATTTTCACATTAGTATTTGTGAAATGTTGAAGTACCTTATACTACTAACATAAATATTTGTTAGTGTTTTTCTTCTTTTGTTAAATAAATGGTTTGAAAAACTGAGATAGCACATATTGTAAATTACACCATAGTTCCAATGAAATACAGCATTAATAGGATCACTAAAAGATTCACTTACCAAAAACAGAAAAAAAGTTTATTTAGGGAGGTAAGATTGCAATTTAAAAATTTTTAATAGAAAATCATCAAATAAAGGTTAATAAATTTGAATTTTTCTGAAAAGCTACCCTGGAGTCTATCAGAACCCCCAAAATTCTTGCAGTTGCTAATATAAAAATAAAGCTATTATTTACACACTTCTGCAATAGTTTACTTCAGTGTTAATGCCCACAATTTTTTCTAAGTTAAATCAAAAATCACAAAGTAATAGAGTAGAAATCATAAAATAATAGAGTTTAAATGCAGTGTGAAAATTTAAAATCAGATTGGACTCTTTGTCAGCTCATCTCAATTTAATACTATCCTGGTTGTACCATTTTCCATTTCCCTACAGCATTTCAAGCCAAAATCTTTCAAAGAATATACTGTCACCATTCTGAAAAAAGTTATAGTATTTTAGTTAATAGCAATATATAGTTTTCCATTATCAAAGAAAGACTTTGCTTCTAAGGTTCATCATTAAAACTACAAGATTTCATAGAAACATGCTTGATTTCAGCAGTATGAACCATGTCTATCATTCTCACAGCATGAAGTACTTGAATATTGACTAATGCATACCATCAGAGACCCTGAAAAGTCTCTATTTTTATTAGACACTGAGATTCTGGAAGTATACATAAGAGTTTTCAGTGACTAACCACAGATTAAATACATGAATTTATTATAAACCCCTCTGAAAACACCGCTACAGTTACAAAGAAAGAGTTAATAAGATATTAATCTAGGAAGACAATGAAAAAGTATATCTTAGTAAACAAAAAATTTTAGAAGCAAGAAGCTTAGATCAGTAACCATGCAGAGCAGAGAAATGTATTACTTAGGAGCTTGGAGGTGTAAAAGCAAAGAAATTTAAAAACACACATCTTAGGACCCTGGAAAATCTCAAGAATTAGAAATACAAGTAATGCAATAATTGGAACTACAAAAGAGGAAGAAATATTGTGTAGTTTCAAAACAGAATGATTGGCTGAAGAGCTTTATAGGGTGCAGTTAGGCTTCTAGATCACTTGGAAATAGCCAAGCAATTCTCCTCCACTCTGAGAAGCCTGGTGATTCACTCTATAATGAGGTAAAACCCAATGCCTTGAGTCAAGACACTAGGCAGACATAAGCAAAAGATACCAGAAGCAAAATCGGGGAAACTCAGAAGACATAACATATGAAGAGTAAGACCCACTGGGGCTTCCAGAACCTTGATTTATGTCTCCAGGCATGAGACTGAAGATATCCTCTTAGGAAAAACTGACTAAAATAAAGGATCAATATATATCTTTTTAGAAATAGATCTTCTGAAGAGATGGTCAATCTTTGACTTATCAGCGAAACCCTGCAGTTAACAAACCTTGTTTTGCCACAGAGTTTGCAGTCCGAATTTCAGTGTTTCACTCTAGAATATGAAAAGACTACTAAGAATCACCTGGTAGTTGAGAAAAGCCTGCAATATTAAATGTAGATACAGAAACAAGCAAGTAGCCAGAGGCAACAGAGACTATGCCGGGATAAAAAAAAAAAACTGCAAATACACTGTAACTTATAATATTATGTATATATTTAATATATATAATTTATACATATAAATTTATACATATATAAACATAGCAGATAACTATATATTACATCTATTAACTAGTATATCTCAAATATAATGTAATTAAGGTATGCTACATCTATTTTTAAGGAATGTCATTTTTTAAAAGCACTCAAAAAATCTGAAATATTAAAAAGTTACAGAAATAATTTTAATCCATTAAGGTTGTTAAAAATCTCTCAAAAGCGTTTTTAAAACAAAAGATGAAAATAAAACAGAAGAGATCAAAAAATGGATGGCAGTCTATAGTGCTTGATATCCAATTCAAAAGAATTCTGACCTAAGAAAAGAGAATTGGCAGGGTATATATTCTCAAATAAATAACACACACAATTTTTCTAGACCTGAAGTACATGACCATCCAAGTTAAAAGAGACCACTGAATGCCAAACAAAATGGATGAATAGTGCCTTTATGAAGAAACCCATTAAAAAAACTGAAAACACCAATGATAATTAGAAGTTTTAAAAAGCAATGAAGAAAAAATGTAAATACAAAGACTGAAAATCCAAAATCATCAGACTTCTTAATGGCAACTTTGGAAACTTGAATAAAGTCTTCTGTATTCTATACCCAGACAGATTATCAATCAAGTTTGAGGGAAAGACAAAGACATTTTCATATATGTAAGCTCTCAAAATTTTACTTAAATATATCATCTTTTAATAAATGACTGAATGATGAATCCCACCAAAAGTAACCAAGAAAGTAAACCAAGAAAATAGAAAAACAGAGAATACAATAGGAACGTGCAGATAAGGAGAAACAACCAGATTGCAAATCAGAAAGCTAGAGGGTTAGTGAGTATTGCTTAGAAACTACTAATTTCAGACACACACACACACACACACACACACACACACACACACTTTACATGCACACAATATTGACAGAAGATGTGCATCCAGGGCAAAGAAGATTGTAGATTTGGTAAGAGAATGTATGAGACAGTAAGTCCCATATCAAAGTTTGAGACTGCAACAGCTCAGTTACCAAAGTTGTTCCACATTATTCACATAAAAATATAATCTGGTCCCACTTAAACATGAATCATGTTCAAACTACAACTAATATGAACCTAAGAATAGATAAAAGTGAAAAAATATATGAACAAATTAATAATAAAATTTCTCCATATTTTTCCAATCTCAAATTACAGCACACTGATTCTATCACAAAGAGTAAGTCTCAAGGAAGAGAGAGAGTTTCAAGAATAAGATTTTGATGGCAGTGGCAGCCCATCTGGGGTGGCCGCTGCAAAGACACTGGCTACAAGAGGGAAGTTATGGCTGGGGCTGTGCGTTCTGCAGAGCTGGCAAGGGCCAGCAACAGGTGATTCTGGCGGGAGCCCCACCCCCACCCCCGGCCTTTCAAGTTGGTGGGGCAGGAGCCCGTGCTTCTGGGCACAGCTGCAGCCTCCCAGCGACAGTTCCGGACACGTCTGCACACTCTGGTGACAGGGAAGCCCGCTTCCCCCACAGGCTTGGAAGTGCTTGCTCCCGCTTCCCAGCATCTCCCTGCTCTGGGCGCCCGCTCCATTGCAGAGCAAAGTTGTGGCTGAGCCCAGGTACTGTCATGACCTGGCCAGCTGTGCACACACTCGGGGTAGCATTGACACTGCAGCCCCCGCCCCCCGCTCCCCATCCCCACTGCTTCGGCTCCCTTCAGACTTGGGGCACCAAGGTGCATAGTAGGGAGGCTCGGAGTGCTGAAGGCAAGTGGACACGGGTCTGTGGGCGCCCCTCAGTGAGGAGAGCCTGCGGGCTGTAGACAGCATGTTGACAGAGGTGGGAAGAAGACAGGTTCCTGGGCAGGAAGGGGCAAGTCCCCAGTGAAACCTCACCTTCAAGCCAGAATGGTGTGAATGTTGGGGGCCAGGCTGCCAGTTCGGGGTGGAGTCTGCAACCTGGAGTGAGAACTTCCTTGATGCCTTTTAACTAATCAGAGAGTGTTTTTCCCACATCCATCCCTGGCCACCCATGGACCAATCAGCACACACTTCCTCCTCCCGATGCACCAATTAGCATTCATTTCCACCATTCAGCGCCGGTAAAGCCCCACTGCGACCCCTACCCCGCTCCGCCACTCACTCAGCCAGACTCAGTGGGACATTTGTGGAGACTACCTGTCTGCGGAGAGGAGCTACCCACCTCTGGTATCCCCTACATTCGTTGGGACTACCTGCCAGCAGATAAGAGCTGCCCACTTCGGGTCTCCTGGTTGCTGAGAGCTGTTCGGTCTCCCAGTAAAGCTCCTTTCCACCTTGCTACCCTCCAGTTGTCTGTGTAACCTCCTTCTTCCTGCATGCAGGACAAGAACTCGGGACTCACCAAATGGCAGAGCGAAAGGAGCTGTAACACCTCCCTGGCTTGCTTGCCAAGCTGTGGGCAGGAGCTAAAGGGGCTATGACACTACAGCCGTCCTGCCCTCTGCCAGCACAGGGTGGACGCCTCACATGACAGAAAGCAGTGGGGGGGGTCAGTCCAGCGTTGAAGCCGCAGGCTAGAGTTGCGTGGCCGAACTGAAAGAGCTTAACACAAATGGGCTGAAACACATCCCCCCAAAACATCCCTCCCCAACTCACTGTGCCACAGGTGATGAGAAGCAGAGAAGAGCTGCAGCCCTGCTGGGACCCCAGAACCAGGAGCTCCCCAGGCCAGGTCTGTGACACACTATAACACCCTCTTTGGAGTTCTGCAGTTGTTGGTGTCTCCTAGTTTTCAGGTGCCACTGCATTCGCCTTGTCCAGACAGTGGTGCACCCAGCAGAAGCTGCTTGCGATCTGGCCCAGCTGCAGCCTCACATGCAGCTGGCACCTGTGCCAGTGCCTGGGACTGCCTGCCTTGCCACTGCAGCTGGCATGTCTGGTTTTATGCAATGGCCAGACCCTGCACTCACTTGCTCACACACCCCTTGCCACTCTACACCTGGCTCACCCTTGGCAGACATATGATCCATAGCACAAGCCAAGTGCAGCCTGCCAGGCTGAGTGGGCAGAATGAGTCCAACAGGCATGAGCAAAACTCAAGCAGAGGCACTGCCAGCCACAGAGGTTTTCTGGCTGGTAAAGCAATACCCAAAGGATCCTCTGACGGTTACATGAAGACAGAAAGTGAAACATAAGCTAGCAGAACTCAGTTAAGAAAGACAAGAGCAGCAAACCACCATGGCATGTATATACCTATGTAACAAATCTCCATATTTTGCACATGTACCCCAGAACGTAAAGTAAAATTTAAAAAATTTTTTTAAAAAGAAAGAAAATAGCAACACAGAATCATCAAGAAAAAAACCAGGTAGTTATCAACTTAAATTAACATGACTAAAATCCAAGAAAAGACATAATAGTTTGGTAAAATAAAATTAAATAAAATGTGTAATGAAGTTTTAGGGTCAAATAGACAGACTTTATCTAGAAAATGATAGCAAAGAAGATTCAAAATATGCTTATTTGTTATTCCTGAAAAAGAGAATTCATCAAAGTTTTCAAATGTATTTTATAAGATAACTTCCCTGAAATATTAGCATATCATGTCCTAAGAACCACTGGCAAATATAATCAATCCCAAGTTATATCCTGATGAATTTATGCAACTTTCACGAGAAGGAAAAAAATCACATGGAACTTAAGGTAGGGAAAGCAGTCTCCAAGCAAAAAAAAACCAATAATCAGACTGTGTCAAAATTCTCTACAGCAACACCACAGGCAGGTAGAAAATAGAGCACAGTCTCCAGAGTTCTGGGGAAAATATGGTAGGAGTAAAGGATTCTGTCAGGCCAAGTCACTCTTCAACTATTAAAAAAATAAAAGCAAACATCCCCGAGTAGACAGGATTACAGTATCCATGAGCTTTGTTCATAAAACTACTAGCCAATGAAATCCAGCCAAAAAAGAATGAAATAAAATAAACCAGAAAAGACAAAGCTACTCAGACATGAGCCTAAAAATTAATTTAAATTTTGAGACAAAGCTAAACCCATGTGGTCATTATGCAGACATTAGAGAATAAAATTGAAATAATACATCTATTTTGAGTTCAAAATTCCAAAGTTATCCTCAAAATCAATTGCAGCCTACATGGTAATCTGGATAAAATTATCAAACTCTCTGAGCTTTTTTAACTGAGATGTTATTTAGTGCAGTTCCTTGGCATTTATGTTTCGATCAGTGGAAAATTTGGTAGATAATTATTTGGATGTCTAGCAGACCATGATCTCCTATTCTAAATTCTGCCCTCTTGGGTCCCTATGGTTATACAGTTCTCTCTGTCCTAGATGGCCCTATCTCACAGACAGAGCTGATTGAATATGAATGCATAACAAACTCACCTAGACCAATCAGATTCTCTGCCCTGTTGCCTGTAATTGAGACACTGATCTTGTAGCTGAAGATATGTAATACGAGAACTTGCATTGTGGCTAAATAGAATTCTAGTTCATAGAAAAAAATCAATAAAACAGACATAAGAAGGTAAGAGGCTGTCTTAGTAGAAACTAAAAAGTATGGCTGTTTAGATTCCTGTTTTATGTCCTTCCTAAAGCCTAACATACTTTCTGCTTTAGGCTTCCATGAGATATTACAATACATTTATAATAATTTCTCCTCCTTTACTTAAGCTGCTTTGAGTGGGTTTCAGTTATTTGCCGTCAAAATAGCCTTAAAGGCAACAGAAATTAGCATAAGAAATGACATTATAATTAACAGTTCCAAATAAAACCATTTAACTGGATAAATTGAGTTCTGGGTTGGGGGGCAATGATGATTCCTCTATCAAGGAATATAAAAATAGCAGTTTGGTTTGTCAATAACAAAATAGTTCAGCTACCGTTGTTATCTATGGCTATTTCATAAAAAGCAAAGTTTTAAAGGATGTCATTGCCCACTTAAAGATATCAGAGTATCTTTAAGATTTAACACAAGAAATCTCCAAATCTCCAAATTAGGCTGATGTCCTTATTATATACTAATATTTGTAATGGGGTATGTGCAACTAACTAAGGTAATAGAAAGAAATAATTATCCCTGGGCTCCTTCATGAGCTAGAGAATGGCCTTCTACCATGTGCCATACCATAGATCCAACTTTACACATTTGCAAATACCTTAAAAACAATCTAGATTTTATGATTTAGGCTTAATACACATGAGCAGGTTAAGAAATTGTGCTCTGCTGATCAGTGTTTTTTTTCTGGTCCTTAAGGCTACAGCCATTAAGTAGATAACAGTGGAGTCAGTATCCCAGGATAAGACATGGATAAAAATAATAAACCAAGTCCATGAAGCACCATGATACAACAAGTTATCTGGCTTGGCTTACTACAAACAGAGCTTCCTAAAACCAAACAATATAAACAAAGGTTTTACTGAAGTCTAGAGGAATGTTGACATCAAAAAATAAGACCAAAAGTTTTTTGAAATAAAACCCTCAACCTGAAAAAAAGAACATAAATGATTCAAACCAATATTGGAAACTCAGCTAAACTAAGAGTTTTGTTTGTTTGTTTGTTTGTTTACTTAAGTCAGGACTACAAAAGATGCTGGCAGAGCCAGACTGGATTTCTATGCATTATAAACAGGGTTATTACGAGAATCCTCCCCAATGTTCCCTTCAGGGTATCTCTGAAGGACATCAAATATAGAAGTTATATCAGTAGGCAGAACCTGTGCCAGCTAGAATTCTTAACTGCTCATTCTCCTGGATAGAAAATGAACACCTCAAAAGTCTATGACATTAACTGGTAAGTCTCTCTCTCCCTCAGATTACAACATGCCTGCACTTAGATCCCAAATGTATCTCAGAAGAAGAATATTTTGGTATCACCAATATGATGAGACACAGTGAAAAGGCATATTAAATAAACTATACTATTTATTCAATTCTATTTTATCTCTGAGTTTTAAAATTTTAAATTGTTACAAAAATTAATTCTGAAAATAAAGAAACATTATGATTGTTTTTCATGGGGAAACAGATCAATACCCTCTTAGGCTGGCCCTTCACTAATCATTTTAGCCACTCTATAGCTTTGACCTTCTCATAGCAGCCACAGGCCACAGGAAGTTCAAAACACAAAAGGCCAGAGGCAGCAAACGCATAGAGTAATGAGAATAGAGAAACATTTAGAGCTTTGCTACCTCACAGAGAGCAAAGCTGTTCTCCGGGTATAAGTAATCAAGAGCAAGCATTTTACAGAGCATTTTAGAGAGAAGTAAAAGCTTCGTGGTAAGGCATTATAAAAGCTCAAATTCAAATGAGTGCTGAGCAAAGGCACAGGCAAAGACTAGAAATCTTATGCAAATTACAGTTGCAAGAAAACATCTGGAGCTGACTGACAGAGGACTAAAATACTGTGGAATAAAAATGGGAAGGATACAGAAGTCAGTCAGTCAGTGAAAACTGGAAGAAGAAACATGAAAATTAAACATTTAAAAACGGCTCCTATATCTATACTTTCTGATAATTTTTATTAGTTTTATTATAAGAAGAAAATGGAAGTGTGTATCAGTACATGTTACTCAGAATTCATAATTAGAAAACAAAAATTAAACCACTAGTATTGTTATATGTATTTTTTGTTGCATAAAAGACATTTTTATTGTCTTATAAAATACTAACTTTAACAACCCCTTCATATATTCATCAAAGTTCTGATCCTTGGAAAAGACAAAACAGGTGAGAAAATAGATTTGGTTTTTAACAAGGCTTATTATTTGGGTGGCCAACAAATAATTTGAAACATAGAATTTTCATTAGAAATAGATTTTTGCTTGTATACATGTTCCCAATACCAATGCACTGAACTTTCTTGTCAATTCAGTAAGTCGAAAGAAGGCTAAGCAGAGATATTGAAACATAAATATTGAAAAGGAGACAATAATATTATTTGTAGAAAATGCTGCTGGAAGAATTGACTCATGAAATATTTCAGGGATGCAATTGACAATATGGCAAAAAGAATACTTAAAATATGTAATGTCTTTGAGGCAATAATTCTAGTTCAAGAAATTTACTTGAAGTAAATAACCAGAGATATGAAAAAATATGTATGTGAAGAATGTTTATAATAACTTGCTCTGGTTAAAGAAAATAGAGTGCTCACTTTAGCAGCACATATACAGAGAATCTTCTATTTATGATGGTTTATCTTGTGGTTTTTCAACTTTACAATAGTGCAAAAGTGATAAACATTTGGGAGAAACCATACTTATTTCACCATGCCTAAATTCAGTAGCCAGCCATTGCTTTCAGTCAGATGCATATTTCAACATAATACTTCCTACCTATGATAAGTTTTTTTGGAAAGTAACTGTATTGTAAGCCAATGAGCATTTGTACTAAAATTGTAATGATAGAATATTAACATAGTCCCTGAACAAAGATGACATGAAAATTTGTGAAGATTTCCACATTTTTCAGTTTGGAAATTGTTTGTATTTTATTTTTGATAATTTGATTATTATTTGTCTTGGCGAGTTCTTTGGTGCCTCACCAAGACAAATAATAATCAAATTATCAAAAATAAAAGACAAACAATTTTGAGAGCAGCAAGAGATAAGAAATACATTACATTCAATGGTTTTTTAATGCCGCTATCAGTGGACTTCTCAGTAGAGACCTTGCAAGGAAGGAAAGAATGAGATGAAATATTCAAAATGCTGAATGAAAAAAAAAAAAAAACTTGTCAATCAAGAATACTTTACCTAGCAAAGCAGTATTTTGGAAATGATGGAGACAATGGTAGCATCTTACAAAACAAGATATTTACAAGATGTGCATAATATCAAAACCAGGATAATGACATTTATACAGTAAAGATACAGAAAATTTCCACCTCCAGAAAGATCCCTCGTGTTGTCCACCTTTCTGCCTACTTCTCTTCCCTCTTCCATTCCCTACCCCAGCCACTATTAACCTATTATTTATTTTTATAATTATGTCATTTTAAGAAAGATATATAAGAAGAATCCTATAATGTGCAAGCTTTAGGGATTGGCTTTTTTCACTCAGCATAACTCCCTGAAAATGCATGCAATTTGCTGCATGTATCAATAGTTTATGTCTTGTATTGCTGAGTAGTACTCCATGTTGTGGATGTATTGGTTTGTTTAACCATCTGTCAATTGAAGGATGGCTGAATTGTTTCCAGGTGTTTTCGTTCTGGTGAATAAAGTTGTAACAAACATTAAAAAAAATGAAAGAAAA